ATGAAACTCCTAAATTCTCAAAATCTTAAAATCTCAGAATCTTAAAAGCTTCAAAAACTTAAATTCTTTAAATGTCGAACTATTGCAATCTGAAAATCTTAAAATTCATAAACAAGTAAAATATAATAAAATTCCTTCAATCCGGGTAATATTCTAAATTCCTTAACCTCTTAATCTTCAAATTTTGAAGTCTTGACATCTTAAGATCTTAACATCTTAAATTCCGAAAGTCGCAAAATCTGAAAATCTCACAAAAAATACAATCTTAAAGCCTTGGATGGAAAATGGCTGGGCAATGGCCTGGCTGTTATAACCTTCAAAAGCCTTAAATCTTTGAATCTTAGAACCTTAATTCTTCAACCATTGAAACCTTAAATTCCGAAAGTCTTCAAATCTGAGACCCTTAGAATCTCAAAGTTTTTAGAATTTTAAGATCTTAACATCTACTCATCGGACTTACAGGAAAGGGAAGTGACAGAACGGGCAGGGCAAGGTGCCCGGTGGCCGGCTGTGTCGCGTCAGCGTGTAAATCCGGCCACCGGACGTGATCGGGCCGCAGGCCAAAGCCCGGTAGGGCTTACCTTCAGGTATAAGGCTGTGCGCCCCATGCCGCCGACCATGCGCGGACCATGCGCGGACCATGCGCATACGTTTTGTGCTGGGCCTGCCCTTATAAGGGGCGAAGGATTCGCGGATTGGTTTAGGCGACTTCCGTGGATTTTTGTAGCATCTCCCCGCAGCGCCCAAAAACGAGTCCAAAAACGAGCATTTTTAGGGGGTGCCTAATACTGGACAACACCCCCAGCATTGCTAGCATCATCCGGGATGATGCGGATGATGTTATGCATGCTGGCGATGCGAACCAAGGGGCTGAAGGGGAAATGCAAGGAAACAGGAGTGACTGGAAGTGAACGAAATGCAAGTCAAAGGAATTGCACGAAAATGAAGAGGGGTCTTCAAGGAAATGAAGGGAGCTGAAACGGCAGTGAACTGGAAGGAAGTGAAGGGACATGCCAGGAAACTGACATGCAAAGGAAGTAAAGTTCGAATCATCCCGAGAACTAGCAGAACTTAGAGGGAAAGGAGATGAAAGAACGGGAAGGGGTGCCCGGTGGCCGGCTGTGTCGCGTCAGCGTGTAAATCCGGCCACCGGACGTGATCGGGCCGCAGGCCAAAGCCCGCAGGGCTTACCTTCAGGTATAAGGCCGTGCGCCCCATGCCGCCGACCATGCGCAGAACATGCGCCGACCATGCTCCGACCATGCTCCGACCATGCGCATACGTTTTGCGCTGGGCCCACCCTTATAAGGGGCGAAGGATTTGCGGATTGGCTTAGGCGACTTCCGAGGATTTTTGTAGCATCTCCCCGCAGCGTCCAAAAACGAGTCCAAAAACCAGTATTTTTAGGGGGTGCCTAATACCGGACTACACCCCCAGCATTGCCAGCATCATTCCGGATGATGCGGATGATGCTATGCGTGCTCACGATGCGAAACAAGGGGCTGAAGGGGAAATGCAAGGAAACAGGAGTGACTGGAAGTGAACGAAATGAAAGTCAAAGGAATTGCACGCAAATCAAGAGGGCACTGGAGAGAAACCTGCAGGAAAATGCACGGGCAGAACGTGAAGAACCGGACAGCGGGAACGAAAAGGGAAAGGAATGCGAATAAACAATTCATGGGAAATGGCTGGATGGAATGGGCTGGAAAAAGGATGGACAAAAAGGATGCAAACTTGATGGAAATGAAGGGGCGTTGATGAAAAAAATGCGGGAAATGGAGGGAAAGGGGATGGATGGAAAATGTGTGGACAATTGATGGAAAGTTCCTGGAAAATGCATTGATGGAATGAATGGAAAAAGGATTGCAACAGGGTGCAACAATTGAGCATCCATGGCGGACATTGCTTCGGATGATGCAGTCGATGCAGGGGGTGCTGTCCACGCCGGTCAGGGACGTGTGGGGAAATGAAGGGAAAGGTGAATGGAAATGGATCGAAAATGTCTGGAAAATGGATGTCAAAGGAATTGCACGAAAATGAAGAGGGCACTGGAGAGAAACCGAGATGCATGGAAAATGCACGGGCAGAACGTGAAGGGAACCGGACAGCGGGAACGAAAAGGGAAAGGAATACGAATAAAAAGTCTTCAAGGAAAGGGAGCTGAAACGGCAGTGAAGTGGAAGGAAGTGAAGGGACATGCCAGGAAACTGTCAGGGAAGACATGCAAAGGAAGTGAAGTTCAAATCATCCCGACAACTCACAGGACTTGTAGGGAGGGAAATGAAAGAACGGGAAGGGGTGCCCGGTGGCCAGCTGTGTCGCGTCAGCGTGTAAATCCGGCTACGCCTCCTGGGGTAGCATGTCGCCGCTAGGCAATTAGCCTGCCAGCTTTAGCTATAGGGGCTGCAACCTGGTGCCGCCGACCCTCGCCACTTGGTCGTGATGCGCTGCCTAAATCCGGCACCTCTGCATCACCAGCTCGGGCTTGCGGTTTTGCTTGCCTGTGGCAAAACATCGTGTATATGCAGGCTTTCGGCCATGTGGCTGACATTGGCAGGGTCTGGGCCTGGGTGATGCTTCAGCGGGGCTTGGTCTGCATCATCAAGACTTCCTTCCAAAAAGCATGACGCGAGGCTCATCTTTGCGCATTTTGGCATCATAATCCGTCATCGCCATCATCGGCATCATCCTGAGCATCATCAGCATCAGCATCATCATCATCATCATCATCATCATTAACACCAGTATCATTCATCATCATTATCATCACCATTATCATCACCATCATCATCACCGTCATCATCATTATCATCATCCATTATCATCATTATCATCATCATCATCCATCATCGACATTATCGTCATCATCCTTCATCATCATCATCATCCATCATCAACATTATCGTCATCATCCTTCATCATCATCATCATTCATCATCCTGAGCATCATCATCAGTATCATCATAATCATCATTATCATCATCATCATTTATCATCACTGTCATCACCATCAGCATCATCACCAGCATCATCATCATTATCATCATCATTCATCATCATCATCATCATCGGCATCATCATCAGCATCATCGGCATCATCACCATCATCATCATCATTGGCATCATCATCAGCATCATCGGCATCATCATCATCATCATCATCACCATCATCATCAACAACATCATCAGCACCATCATCATCATCATCATCATCATCCATCATCATCGGCATCATCATCCTCCTCCATCGTCATCATCATCATTGCCGGCATCGTCATCATCACCATCATCATTAATCATCATCATTATCGTCTTCGTCATCATGGGTTGGAGGTTAGGGTTAGAGGGTCGTTAGAGCACCGTCTTTGCCTTTTTCACCGCCCCACAAGTCTTCCCGTCATGTTCCCGTAGTCTTCCGTCATCTTCGTGTAGTCTTCTGTCATCTTCCCGTAGTCTTCCGTCAGTCCTATTTTGCCGAGCTTGAGAGTGCTTCGTGCGCTTCGCACTGCCTTCTGCAGAAACTTGCCAACGTCAGCCACGGGGCGCGGCTCGGGAACTGCTTATTTGATTTCTGCGCATACTGGTCCAGCATACATCCATCGATCCATGCATGCATATTGGCAATTGCCAAGCCAGAAAAGAGCTACAAAGTTGTGTGAAGTCACGTGCCGCGCGAATTAACACCAAAATGGTGCAAAACCGGGGTGTGCAGAAAATATCTTTTCTACGGCAATACATGGCTGTTCTACAGCAGAAAATGTACTTTCTACGGCAGAAAATACTTTCTAGTCTACGGTTTGTCTACGAGGTTAAGGTTAGAGGTTAAGGCTAGAGGTTAGGGTTAGAGGTTAGGGTTAGAGGTTACGGTTAGAGGTTAGGGTTAGAGGCTAGGGTTAGAGGTAAGGGTTAGAGGTTAGGGTTAGAGGTTAGGGTTGAGAGGAAAGGGGAAGAAGGAAGGGGTAGAGGTTATGGTTAGAGGTTAGGGTTGGGGGTTAGGCTTAGAGGTTAGGGGTAGAGGTTAGGGTTAGGGGTTAGGGTTAGAGGCTAGGGTTAGAGGTAAGGGTTAGAGGTTAGGGTTAGAGGTTAGGGTTGAGAGGAAAGGGGAAGAAGGAAGGGGTAGAGGTTATGGTTAGAGGTTAGGGTTGGGGGTTAGGCTTAGAGGTTAGGGGTAGAGGTTAGGGTTAGGGGTTAGGGTTAGAGGCTAGGGTTAGAGGTTAGGGAGAGAGGAGGGGGAAAGTAGAGGTTAAGGTTAGAGGTTGAGGTTAGAGGTTAGGGTTAGAGGTTATAGAGGTTAAGGTTGGAGGTTAGGGCAAGAGGTTAGGGTTAAAGAGGTTAGGGTGAGAGGTTAGGGTTAGAGGTTAGAGGTGAGAGGTTAGGGTTAGAGGTTAGGGTGAGAGGCTAGGGGAGGTTGTTAGGGTTAGAGGTTAGGGTTAGAGGTTAGGGTTAGAGGTTCGGGTTAGGGGTGAGAGTTAGAGGTTAGGCGTGTCAACAATCCGCCGCGGGACCCCCCCTCCCCCCCTCAAACTCCCCTTAGCCACCGCTTAGAACACGCCTCGCCTTTTTGCAGAGACTAACTTGGCTTTTGCAAAGGGGTCGGCGGATTTCCGGACCCCTGTGCAAGTGATGCGTGCGAGGGCATTGGTGAAAGAAAACGGGATGCCCCAGAGAAGCACTGCCTGTTGCCATTTGCCGTTGGCAAATGTTCAGCATTCCCTGTTGCCATGGCATATCTTTCCTGAAAACCGCTAGGGGTGAGGGGCATCGCTAAGCTTTGCCGCTAGACGAAGCCCACACGAGGCGATCCTCCTCTGAATCCAAATGATATGCCCAGAACCCCGGTTGCCCGCTTCAGGAAACGCTACCCAGTTTCATTTGTGGGAGGCTTAGAGATCTCAAATCTTTCTGACCATCGGGGTAGAAGCCAACTTCCAGACTTTGGGTTTTGGGAGCTCAAGTCCATAGGTTTTGGGAGCTCAACTTCCAGACATTACCGCTCCCAGGAGAAGATCCAGAATAATGGTGGCGAGGAGTTGCTCAAGGTCTACGTGCCTCTTGCGAAGTTACGTGAGCTTGAGGCGGTGTTTGGGGAACCCATCGATTTAACACAAGCTAGGTCCCCCAATGGTGCCCTTTTGCCCTTTTTTGGGGGAGGATTTCCCTACTAAAATAGACTATATACAGAAAAAATGGTACCCTTATTCAACTTCTACTGGAGGACCTAGTAAGAAAGTAGAAACAATAGGGATGGCCCACCTAGTGATCAGCAAGTTGTTGCTTCCCATGTCAAAGAACATGCACTTGCATCATTCCACCTAATTGGTGATGCTGGATAATTTTGCTTGTGTGGCCATGTGTTGCCATTTGCCTAGATTTCCTGCATAGTGGTGCCGAGCAGAGTTTACGTTCAGCCGTGTGAGTCTGATTCTGTCTCTTAGCGCTTTGCTCCACGCTTCCCTGGTGCATTGCTCCACCTTTTTTTGCGAATATCGAATGCTCTGATGAGAGGGGCAGCCCAACATTTGGTTTCTCGACGTTGGTTCTCAAGAAGTTAAATCGGACAAGAAGCCAAGGGAAGAAACCACGAGGTAAGATAGCCTGAGTATGCTCGAATATGCTCGCGGATCCCGCATACTCGGATATATTTGCAGTTCTCCCCTGTTTGAAGGCAGCAGCTTTTGTGGAATGCTCCGTGAATCAATCAACCAGAAATATGCCAACTGGGGCTCAAGATACGCGAGCCGGCAGGATTTGTCTTGCAATAAATACTCCTGCAACTTGAGGTGGAACCCGCAAAGCTGTTCCCGCCAACACGGGATACCATGCGTCATTTTCTTCCGGAGTTAAATGGAAAGCCACCGCCCCAACTCCCATTTGGAGGCCGGCACCACATCTTTGTGGCGCCACTTTTATGGTACGCTTTGGAACTTGTCAGGGCTAGATGCACATCTTGTTCCAAGCCTCTCCCTGAGGGAGGGTGATGATGGGCATGGGTCAATATCCTGGTGACGCCTACCCGGGTTTATCCACGTGCGAGGTGATGTATTTGCTGGGTTTCATGAGCGGCCTTGCCGGAGGGACAGGTTCCCGCTTCTGGGCAGCAGTGCTACGCCTGGATGGGCACTTTCGGGGGCACCGACAGGTGTGGCCATGCATCGGTTCTGCATTCAACAGAGACTCTGATAGAATTATACCAACTCACCCAAGCAGAAGGCTGCTTCCCGCCGTCCATGTGAACATGATGGAATCAAATGAGCACATTGGTTTCCATGGTTGGGTGAATCGATTGCAGTTTGTTTTTTGCACCCAGGAAATCTTTGCAGTATGACAGTGACAACTTATCCGGTGGGGGGGAATGGGTTTGGCGCCGTCGTCCCATGTATGTTTGAGAAGCAGAGGATTGTCCGGCATCTATAAGTCGAATATTTACCAGATATGTGTGAGTTGTTGAGTTTTTGTGCCCGCGGTCCATATTATATATACACACATACTGCACGTATATAAAGATATATTCAAAGCGTTCATGGATCAAGTCTTGCAATCACAAACCAGCAAGAGGTCGCAGCAAGAATCTGCAGAGGTCACAGCTCAGGAAGGTCCGTAGGCTTAGGGTTGATGCAGGTTGAATTGGAATAGCTCGCGCAGTTCTAAAACCACGGGCCGGTAGTCCAGTAGCCCCCCAGAAGGCTTAGGTTGGGAAGCTGCATCAGGGGGCAAGGGGGCCAATGGGCCCTTGTCTTGGCTTTACATGTAGACAACAAGGCTGGGACGGGTTTTGGTTGCTGCGCCGGGGCTTCTGCAAATACATTGCACAGGTCTAGGATACGGAAGGCTCGCGTGAGCCTTCGGGCCCTTCGTGCAACCTTGTAAGCTAGCAAGCGACAACGTTTCGCAGAGGGCCTGACTCTCGCCAAGAAAAGATCCGCGCAAACCCGAAGGCTTCATGACCTGCAGCAACGCGAAGACGGTGATCCTGGGCCTGTCCATGCTGAAGAATGCTTTATCAGAGAAGCCGGCCCCGCTGCAACTGGGGCTGAGTGGCAAACTTTGACGGCGGTGAAAGTAGATGTTGCCGGTCCCTTTATGTGGGTAAGGCGACTAACCCCCAAATTGGGAGTCGCCACTCAAAGCGCCACTCTGCATCTACCGCTGGCAGTCCAGTTCCCTTTCTCCATTTTTCTCCCAATTGGACAGGGGTGCTTCCCTTAGTCCACCGCAGTGCCTTTGTTTCTCAGGTACTGGAGCTACATCCATCACAGGCGCTTCAGTCCGAGAGTGGGGGGCTGATGTGAGGGAAAGGATAAAGAGGAACGAGACACTGGAGCAACTTGCTACAGAGGTTGGAAGACCTGCGTAACACACAAAAAACACTTAATGTGCAAAGCCTGAAAGAGTAGGCCGACTCATGGCATGGCGTGCTGAGACGATCCAAGCATATCCCCTGTATTGCTGGCCACACTGGAAGACCGGGTTCTTCAGGTACTGTGGATGGACGAAATCCAGGCTTCTTAGGTGGTGTGGTGCGAAATGGATTTCGTCCATCCACAGTAGGTCTCTTGGCTCAGGAGCGTGGCCATGCAGCACCAGCCCCGGAAGCCCGAGGACCTCGCGGTGGCGCGCCTGGCGTGCCTCTGCCGCGCCCAGACGCACCAGGAGTGACCCAAAAAGTTTCGGCGAGGGGAGTCCAACCACCCCAACCCCTCGGTTTCCATTTGGCATCCAACAAAAAGGTAGCGTCTATAAGGAACACACCCATGCTGAACTGGTTTTCCGGAGCATTTTGCCCGGCTCCGAAGGAGTTTGAGTGCAGTTAGGAATGCCACGCCTGGACTTGCTCCTGGGAAGTGCAGATGTGGTGTTACAGCCCCGGCATTCCAAATGCATTTGGTCAAATCACAGGACCATGTTATCGGATGAAATTCACGGATTCTGGAGCACAATGCGATCCAAGATGCAGGTCGATCATTGAAAACACCGTTACAAGGCACGCCCGCTTGATTGAAAATCAAGCGGCCCTTGTGGAAGTGTAGAGGACCTTTTTGTTGATGGTCCCTAGCTTTTTCCAACAGTGGGGGCTGTGTGAAAAGAAAGAAAACCTGGCCGATGGACTAGAACACCATGACAAGCCACCCAGACACACGCAAACAAGCAAGCAATACAGTACAAGACACACAATACAACAGATTGCAATACAGTTCAAATCAATTCAAGTCAAATCAATTAATCAATCAGTCAGTCAGCCAGTCAATCAATCAACCAATCAATCAACCAATCAACCAATCAATAACTTCTTTGATCAATCAGTCAGTCAGTCAGTCAATCGATCAAACAATGGATCAATCAGTCAATCTATCTATTTACCAATCAATCCGTCGATCAATCAATGAATCAACCAAGCAAGCAAACAAAAGCAAACACACACGCAAAGACAGGCACGAAGACACAGACACACACCCACACACCCATGCTACTATTAATGTTACTGCTGCTGCTACTGCTGCTACTGCTACTACTACTGCTACTGCTACTACTACTACTACTACTACTACTACTACTACTACTACTACTACTGGCACTTTTGTCCTTATATTGACGCCATTATTGTTACGACTAGTACTTTTCCTGCGACTGGCATTTCTACTACTATTAAGTCTACTGCTACTACTACTGCTACTACTCGTTTTGCGACGACTTCGGCTCCTTCTAGTGTTTTAACGGCTCTCATCTCACCACTGCTATTATACCTACTACTACCTACTTTCTACTGCTTGCTACTACTTGCGACTACTTGCTGCTACCTACCTACTGCCACTGCCGCCACCACGGCTGCTTCATGCCTAGCACTATCACTACTACTATCACTACAATCAGTACTATCACTACCACCTACTCGGACCTACTACCTACTACCACTGGCACCACCGCCACTACAACTAGTAGTGCTGCTTCTACTAAGCTACTGCTACTACTTCTGCTGACGCTACTGCTGCTACATTGGTATTAAAATATGCTTCATACCTTAGCCCAAACGCGCACACACACACACACGCACGAAAGCGCAAAACCCACACACACACACACTTAGACACGTAAACGCAAAAATAACCACACATCACGCATACAGAAGACGCAAAACTGGTTGACGTCCTTTGGTTGTCGGAAGGAAGCATTAGCCAAAAGCGGTGTAATTTAGCTTAGGTATCCTAGTGCGTGAATGTGTTTGTGTTTGTGCGTGGTGTGTGATGATCAAGAAGAAAGATTCATTCCAGTCCATCTATTTCCCTTAGGTGTGACATGGTGAAGATATGAAGAGATAGATGAGGACTAACATATGAATGCAGCTAAGATACAAGATTCCTTCCTCAGCATCTATTTCTATTCCTTGTAACCTCAGTGACTCATCTATCAGCTAATATTGAATGGAGATGAGGAAAGAAATATGATAAACACCTGACTATCATTACCTTCTCCCACCTGATGAAGAGAGGTGGGAGGTAATAAGAAAGGGAAAGAGAGGGAAGGAGAAGGGAAATGATGGATGAAAAAGACCTGCCATCATTATCCACTTCTTTCCCTTTATCATGTGTTTCATCTTTTTAATAGTCAACTTTTCATTCATAAAATATTTGTTGCCTGCTTGCTTGTTTGAGTGTTCGTGTGAGCATGCGTCGGTGTGCGCATCTTTTTGGCGTGTTTGTGTGTGTTGTATGGTTGTGTGACTCTACGGGTGTGCGACCGTCTGTGTTTTCCTTCTTGTTGTGTGTGTGTTTTGTGCTTCCGTGTGCGTGTGTGCCTCTTTCGTGTTTGGTGTTTTGTGTTTGTTTGTGTCGCTGCTTGTGTCCCTTTTCGTGTGTGTGTGCCAGAGCGTTTCTGCTTGTTTGCTTGTTTGGTTTGGTTGGGCTGGGTTGGGTTGGGTTGGTGGGTTGGGTTGGTGGGTTGGGTTGGTGGATCGGGTTGGTGGGTCCGGTTGTGATTGTTATTTTCACTGTGTCTGCCGGTCCGC